TCCCTCCTGCTCTGTTCCTGTGGTACTGAGTGCAACTACCGCCCCTCTTCCCAGCATAAAGCACAAGGCTCGCATGCTGAGTGAAGCCGAAAAAAGTGCGAGAGAGAGGGTGAGAGAAAGAAGAAAAAAAACCCACGGCTCGCGTCGTTCACGTCAAAGACCCGGCTCTAAGAGCCATTTTATTGCCACCGACCCATCACTACTATGTAGCTAACAGCTGGTAACACAGGCGAGTCTAAGTCATTAACAGGGAAATGTGGCACAAAGAAATATTTTTTTTCTTATTTCTATTTTCATTTAAAATATTTAGGTTTTAATAAATAATTATCTGAATCTTACAACCATGGTTATCGGATGTAAAATGTATAGAAATAATACATATATAACAAATACATTTTTTAAAGTGAATTAATAATCCATCAATAAATACGTCAAATCGAAAATGAATTTTACAAAGAAAAAGAATTCAAGTCTCACTAAAAACCTGAATTCTAAACCTATTTTTGAATGACAAATTAGAAATAGTGCAACTCCACTTTTTTATAATACTGATATCAATACTGCCAATACTGATATGAATCTAGTCTATTTTATAATCAATAAAACTGTTTTTTTTATATATTGCTGCATTTTCATACTAAAGTTTTTTGGTTTTTTTAAAAGCCCAAACACTAAAGTTATTCTATTGTACTTGTATGCAAAAAATACACTGCACCCAAACATATATGCCAACCCTCCTGATTTTTCCAGGCGAATGCTAAATTCCAGTACCCTTCCGAAAATCTACAAAACTTAACACAAGTATGAAAAACAGTGTACTTGTGTTTTTCATAGTGTTTTTTTAAAAAACAAAAACAAACAAACCCAAAACTAAATAAAATAAAGTGCTATAAAAATGTTATGCCTCTACTCCAAAGCGTTGCCCTGAGTCAACAAACCACATTTTCATGCCTCACACACTGGCCCTTCAAAAAAAACAAAACAACTTTTTTTCTTCTTCAAATAATAGTACCAGGCACATCTCTTTCCAATAAAATGATGGGGGGAAGGTGGTGTGACTTTCATTTGGGGGAGGGGAGACTTCTTTCTGTAAGCTGCATTACATGAGAGACATCTCCATTAGGACTGTCACTATTTTACATGTTTAAAGTGAAATAAATGTATATAAAAAATACTTAAATACTTGCATGTGCATGAATATGTTAAGAAGTATATTTGATTATTTGTTCTACTTTTTAAAATTTATTTATACAGTAAAACTGTTAATTTTCAATCATGCCTCAAGGCAACACTGCGCAGTTAGCTTAATTTTTTTCTGGCAATATAATGCATTGGCATATGTGTCTAGAGATGTTTGTGTGCATTAATATGATCAGAGCTTTTTATTTTACAATCTGCTGATAATTACATGACATGGATGTAAAAAGCCTTTATGGAAGGAACCCAAGGGAAAGAAAGTGAGCATTCAGGGAGTGACAGTGAAGTTGAGGAGTGGATCCCTGAATCAGGTTTGAGGGACACATAGGAGCTCAGGGGTCGGTTGGTAAAGTAATTGTGTGTGTGTGTCTGTGTGTGTGTATTACTTTTTGTTGTGGGTACACAAATCTGTTTACACACTGACATCGTGAGGTCTCGTCTACTTTATGGGGACAAATTGCAAGGTAAATTATTCACAGAAGTAGTTTTAAAAGACTGACTTAAATAAGTCAGTCTTTTAAAACTACTTCTGCCTAAAATATTCATATAAATTTTTAATTATTTCGTGGGGTTTAACCCTTTAGATCCCAGTATCTTTACATAACCGCACAGGTTTTTTAACAGAAAAAAACTTAAATATTTTCCATAAAATACATTTCAAAAAATATTTGATTGTTATTAGAATTAGGTCTTTAGATGGGTCAAAGATTGGCACCAACATTCATTTTGATCCATAATTTTTTTTTTGCATGGGCAAATGAAAAAAAATCCCTCACATTTGTGTCCCTAAGGCCCCAAAACGGTCCCTCTCCAAAAAGTGCTATAAAAATGTTATATATTAATATATTTTTTTCCACTTTAAATGAGTCAGTCTTTTAAAACTACTTCTGCCTAAAATATTCATATCAATTTTTAATTATATTTTGTGGGGGTTAACCCTTTAGACTCCAGTATCTTTACATAACCGCACAGGTTTTTTTTAACAGAAAAAAACCGAAAAACTTAAATATTTTCCATAAAATACGTTTCAAAAAATATTTGATTGTTATTAGAATTAGGTCTTTAGATGGGTCAAAGATTTCCACCAACATTCATTTTCATCCATCATTATTTTTTTGCATGGGCAAATAAAAAAAAAATCCCTCACATTTGTGTCCCTAAGGCCCCAAAACGGTCCCGCCCCAAAAAGTGCTAAAAATTTTAATATATTAATATTTTTTTCCACTTTAAATGAGTCAGTCTTGTGTTTTTAACATGTTTTAATGCTTAATATCTTGTTCTATTTAATCTCAACAAGCCCCTAAAAACAGTCAGTGATCACTGTCTGCCTCCTCGATTTTTATTACTGCATTTTAAAACTCAGTCAGTTTTTTGGGGGAATGTCCCCAAACCTTACGATATAACTACAGCCCAGGCGATGCATTAATGACTAACCCTTATATTGTGGATGGATTATCTCAGTTGTTCTCCTGACAGAAGTTTGGTCCTTTTACAGCATCCTGTGATTACACGTGACTTGTCCTTAACCGGGATATCGGGAGTGGAAAAAAGTTAGCGTTCATCCGTCAGCTTCATTATGTAATTCAGTATGCTGGATCTTAGCATTGAATGTCCACGATATTCTAATCAGTACAATTTAGGCATTCAGTCCACCTACAGTATCTACACCTGTGTGGCAAATGTGTGGTAAAGATATAGATAATGAAATGTAATTATTATTAAATGCCATGCCCTGAGTCCCCATAGCCAATTATGCTAAGTTTAGCTAGTAAACTAGTTTGCTAGTGTAGCTGTTGAAATGAATTTTGATGGTACGGATATAATAGGATTTACATTATTGACATTTTACTACATATACACACCATTATCTGAAAACAAAAAAATCCTCAGTTGTGAAATGTAACTCAGTTGTCTAAAATATTACATTTCAGTTAAAATTCAAGGTATATATATTTCTGTTTCATATCATTTATAACTTGTGACTAGCTAACAGACAATTATTAGTATACAATGAACACTGGCTGAAAGCTTTAGTTATATTTAAGGGCAATATCCCAAAAATAAACTAAAAAGATTTGATCCTTGTACGTTTCACATAAAATGGAAGTCAAACTGATGCAGGAAATATTCTTTAATTGGACAGAAAACTGGGCAATATAATTTACTTATGATGTGAAGATATCAGAGCGTTAAAAAGGCTGATGTTTGGGTAAGAGGCTCTAATAGGTAGTGATGGGTCATTCGCGAACGAAATGGCTCTTAGAGCCGACTCTTTGACGTGAACGATGCGAGCCGGCTCCTTATCGCGAGCCGTCACGTGGGTTTTTTTTTCTTTCTCTCACCCTCTCTCTCTCGCAGTTTTTTCCGCTTCACTCTGCATGCACCCTTGTGCTTTACGCTGGGCAGAGGGGGGAGGGGCGGTAGTTACACTCAGTAGCACACGAACAGAGCCAGAGGGAGAGAGAGAGAAAGAGAGGCAGGGACAACAACATTAGAAAGGTATAGTAATCATCCACAACTATTTTCAGTTGCAGATGATAAAGGATTCAGAAAGTTTATTCATGCGGGCCCATATGACAGAGAATATGCATGTTCTTTTTGTTTTCATATTATAATTTA